GACATATGTAAATGTGCACCTCATATGCATACATACATATATATATATATATACACTCATATTTTACGGTATATCTATATGTCCGTAAACATGTATCTGTATGTGCATATATTTATATATGTATGTAAACACACATATTTATGTATATGTATATGTATATGTATTTCTGTGTGTATCTGTATACGCATTGTATGTGTATGTATCTATTTTTTATACTTAAATGGATGTATGTAGGTAGGTAGGTAGGTATCGTTTTACTGGGAGTGTAGGGTCGTGGGCAAATAGAGGGGGGGTGAGGGTAGTTCTACTGTGCTCCAGTCTTTTTTTGGCCATGCCCTCGCCCTTTTGAAGCAGTTTGCCCATCTTTCTCAAGATCTGCCATCATTCTCCAACGTTCTGCAGTCCCTTTGGCGAGGTTCTATCCTCTTCCTCCAATTCCACTGTTTCGTAACTTGTCCGTCCCGTTCGAGCGGTTTGCTCGGCCGACCCCTCTTGGCCAACCACATTCGCTCCTTTCGAGGCGCATTTATATACACCGTTTCCTCGGTGCCAATTTTTTTGGAGCCGTCTGCCACTCTCTCTCAAAGCTTCTATGTCTCTTCGCAAACTTCTCCAATCCTTTCGCTTGTTTTCTCAGCATATGTGCGCCACTCTAGTTTGGCTTCTCTATCTGAGGCTGAAGCAGTACCACTACGAGAGAGAGCAACGACTTCAAGCAGGCGGAGGAGGAAGACAACGGTTAGCGCGACTGAACAAAAGGCCGAAGAACACCTCACGTAGGTCGGAGTCGTCCTTCTCGTCGTAGCCCCAGAGCAGCTTGTTTCCCCACTGCCAGGTCCCCACTCCGAGCCTCAGTTGAGTCGACATCAGCGACCAACGGAAGTCTGCGGAAGCCAAGGGACCTGGAAAGTTGGAAGCCTGCTTTCGTCGACAACCGCGGAACCTGCCCTGGAGCCGAGAAGAAGCCTGCATCGGGTTCCGCTGCAAAGCTCGCAGGCACGCACTGCTGGCGCCTGGCGAAGGGAACCGCAGGCATATCAGCGCCGAGAGCAGCGTTGCAGCTCGAATCCGCCGCCCGGTCGGCAGCATGGGCAGCTACATGTCATACATTGGCAGGGCTAGGTCTGTGCGCAAGGCGAATCAGGCAAGGTCAACATGAAAGTCATGAGAGCTGTTGTGAGAGCACTGCCAGTCATTATCCGGCAGCCCACGCGCTAATCCAGCTATGGCCCCCCAAAAAGCACATAAGCAAAATTTGGATAGGGATATCCCATGCAAACCACCCTCATGATGAAGCCCAATAAGGTCGGGATATCCCTATAAAGTGCTTATGCTAACGTGGCTTTAGGGGTCCCTATACATAATCTATGACTCGCCTAACACTGCTGACTCATGCTGTTCGTTTCGGGGCATTCCGCAAAGGGCTTCAGCAGTTGGAGGCACCAAACGTGACCGGGAATGTGGCGTGAGGCTTCTGCGAGTTCAGGGTGCTAACACGTATACTGCTAACATCTGCTTGCTGCTTGCCGAGAGGCGCTTCCATGCAGCTGAAGCAAGGCCCTGAAGGGAGCAACTCAATCACTGAAGCGAGCGGAGCTGTAGAAATGTAGCAACTTGTCATGAGCCTCCGCCATCTCTGCGGCAGTGGCTGCTGCGACTTCGTAGGAGGTCTGTTCGCTCATGCCTCGGGAACGGAGGAAGCATCTTGCAGCACCATGCTTGATCCGACAAGGATCGAACCCAGATCCAGCCCAACCCTCGCGGCAGCTTTGCCAGCCTTCCAGACATGTCGCTGCCCGCATCTGCCCATCACTCGCAGGCTTGGCGTGATAGTGCCTCCATCGCAGCGTCCTCCAGACCTTGCAGTCCTCGTTCTGCTTCTGCCCTTGCCATCTGGCCTTTCATTCTGAAAAGCCGTGCCAGCCTATGTCGCCCTCATGTTTGGACATCATTCCGTCTAGACTATCGCCGTCAAGTTGCTCACGGCCGTCGCGGCAATCTGTGCCACCTTTGGCAAATGAACAAGTCGGCACTGCATGTATGTCTCAGAACAGGCAAGCCTCATGCGGCTGCAGGCCGTCAGCCTGACAAGTTGATTCTTTCATACCATGTGCTGGAAGCCGAACACAGAGAGAGAGAGAGATATATGGTGCAGCGCTGCTAGGCCCCCCCCCCCCACCCCATGGTATCCCCCCCTTCCCCCCTGTGGTTCCCTGTGGTGTGGGTTCCCCCCTGCCCCTCCCCCCTGTCATTGGTTGCGGTCGGCTGCGCCCCCGTCCATGGCTATGCGTCCGGTTGCTAAGGGTTTGGACCGTAGGATGTGATACAGTTCTATTGAACTCCGACCTGCCCTGAGCTCCAAAGCCAATGATAGTGATGAGTATGATGGTGATGATAATGACGAAGATGGTGCTCATGATCCCCATCCGCACTCTCATCAGGTCCCTTGCTCAAAAGTCCCGAATGAAAACCATTCAAATATGTGCTCAAGCTTACTTGTAGCGAACCCAACCGAAACTTGGCTTGGAATGACAACGGTCGATATGGTTTTCGCAAGAACATCACAAGCCAAGCACGGTTTTCAACTAGATAAAGCGATGAACATGCGGTGCCGAAGCCCAGAGCAACATAAGAGCAAAGGTACCACCAATAGCCACACTGGGACTAGCACATCAACATCATTGCGCACAACATTCTCATTTGTGCTCGAAGAGAGGGCAAGGGATGGGTTATCCCTCCCGCACCCACCCCCGTTTGCCAAGGCGAGAGGCGAGGCCTGGCGTGGGGGGGAGTTGCGCGGATGACGTGTGACTGTGATGGGACGAGAGGCCTGGCTTGGGGGGTGGGGGGGTTGGGGGGGCATACCATGGGGGGTGGGGGTGGGGGGGGCCTGCGACGCGGCGACGCGGCACCATATATATATATATATATATATATATATATATATATACACATATAAATAATATATGTATATACATATACATTGCTGCCAAGCTGCTACAGCTAAATCACATGTGAGCTTCCCCGTGCAAAATGCCGTGGTCCAAATGGCTTCCTCCTCTTGCCTGACCAGGAAAAACGTGGCGCCGTCATGCGACAAGGGCAAAGGGGCCCCTGCATGCCCCAGGCCACCGCCGCCCGATTCGCAGCGACCTGTGCCTTGGCTTGAGCCTTCGCATGGGGTGCTTCTGAACCACAAGCCTGACTGGACCCTGCACGCGGCCTGGTCTCGGTCCGAGCCGGTACGGAGTGTAGCAGAGTGCCCCGCCTTTAGTCAAGAGCTAAAGTGTGCAGTAAGTTTCACCTGGTAGTCTGCAGCGTGACTGTGTTTGACGTGTGTTGCCCCCTCCTCGCATCTGTACAGCAAGCAATGGGCTGATAGGCGTAAGTGCCACATCTACGGAGGCACAAGCCGCTTGGCCGACAGAAGCCAGTTGGCCAGAGCTTCAAGTGAACTGGCAAAGGGAAGGACCGCGTAAGCGGAATCTGAGTCAAGTCTACCAATGCAAAGTTTCGCCCTTCGCAGCATCCACGAGAGCACCGCTGAGGGCCTCGAAGTTGGAAGGCGGCGCTTCATCCAGGGATGGCTTTCGCAACTCCACGTGATCTCTAGGAGTGTCCATTTGGGTGAGGACGTACAGAGGCTTCTGTCCGGGAACCTTGCATGCACCCTGTACCCGCCCATCTAAGGCAAAGGCCACGATTCGCTTGTCCACATCAACCAACATTCCGATCACGTTTCCTGGTGTGCATGCCTTCTCGAACTCGACCACGGCTTTCCCATCAGCATGCAGCGCACCCGTGCCATTGTGGATAGACCCTCTTGACGAACCAGCACGGCCGCAGTAGTATGTCCAAGCTTTCAGGGACCTGCCAGAAACTTTGCTGCCAGCCATCTCGGGCGACATTGTTACTCCACACCATTGCTCATCGCCGACCTTGTGCAGCACGAACTCGTAGTAGTGCAGCCCCGACCGCATGGGCTCTTTGGTCAGGACATTGCAATAGTCGGTACGAAGTTTGGGAGACCGAATCACAGCACCATCTACTTCGATTTGGGACGAGTCCGGGTTATTGTCTGTGTCCCAGGTCCACATCGGTGTCTCGTCTTTGACACAGAGCACCTCGAAGCCTTCTGTTGGGAACTCATTGGTTGCAGTCAACACCTCACCGTTTGCCACCAATTTCTGCAGCGCTGATGGGATGCCCGTAGCCTGCTCGATTTGCTCCCGCAATTCTGTGAGACTCGCCGGCAAGGGGCTGATCTCGGCCAGTACGCCGCCTGCCAGGTTGGACACCACCACGGACATCAGCCCACCGGCAAAGGCAACAAGTCACGCGGTCGCTCTTCCGGCCAGAAAAAGAGCTGCGGCTAAAGCAAGTGCACAATCTCGAGAAGCCTTCATAGTGCAGGATCTGGGAACGAGAACTGTGCCTTGCTTGCAGCGATGGCAGCAGCTCTGGCTGCTGACAGCGGCGCCATGCCAGCAGCCACGGCTGCTGCATACGCAGCTTCGGCAGCTGAGGCGGCGACCTGTCGCTGCATTTGCTGCACCCAGAGAGCCCAACACCCTTAAACTTACCTTTGGCTAGTAGGGAATGGAGGAATGGGGTACAATTAAAACTCCTATTACTACCATTCTTCCATGCCCTACTAACCAAAGGTAAGTAATTAAGGAATATACCTTAAATTATTAGGGGGGCCTCATATTATGATTTAAGCTATATATTCCTTAAATAAGGGATCTTGGGCTCTCTGGGTACGACCCTCTACGAAAGGCTTCCGCCTTTTTTCCACTGAGCTCCCCAAGTTTTGCACTCGGAGCTACCAATACAGTGTGCAGATAACATGCATGTTTCGGGGCTGCTCGGAAAAGTGCCGAACCACTACTTCCGGTCCGGCTCCGTTTCTTCATAATCGACCTTCCAGCATCCAGGACCTATATAGGACTCTCTTTCTTGCGACATCTAAGCCTACGAATCAACAGTTAGTTCAACTCTTACAGTAGCGCCTCTTCCGCTGTAGCCACATCTGAAGAAAGCTCAGTAGCTGCTCGCCCCGCTGCGACTGCCGCAAGCTTGGCGCAAATACCTACCAGTATACAGCACACAGGTTCGAGGCTCTGCCCTCGAGCGCGTGAGCAAGTGCGCGTAGAGCGTAGGGCCTTGCGTCATTCCAGCTGTGCGGGCTGCGTTGGCCGCGGCTCTCCCTGCAGCTGCCGCAGCCTGCGCTCGCGAGGGCGAAAAAAGCGGTCCGCTCGCAAAGAATAGGAGGGTTTGGGGGATTTGGGGGGGGCTCGGGGCCTCCTGCACGCTGGCGCCGCTGGCGCGCGCCACGTCCATGGCGGCCTGCGTGCAGTCCCAGTTCACGGCGCTTTCGGCGCAGACGCCAACACGGCCGTGGGCCATTGCATCCCATTGCCATGCGGCTCCCTGCGCTTTCCGCCGTTTTGTGCTCGCCTTGCCGGCGAACTCTGCGGCCACTTCCGCCGCACCGTGTGGTGTTCGGCCTGCAGACTCGTTTCATCTGCTTTCATCGGCTGAGGTCATATACTCAGGTGAACGGAATAAGGGCCCAGAAAACACTTGCCGGGCCTTCCTTGAGGGCTGCTTTTGAAGCCATGAGGGCCTTGATGTCGTAGTTGCTGGAATCTGCCATCGACCTCTCTTGCACAACACGAACATGTCTATCTATTATTCTAACACTACACTACACCGTGCAGAAGAGTTGCTCTACGGCAACTTCCCCACGCACGGTATCACTTGGACCTCGAATTCTGAGGATGGCTCGACTTGGGCGCAGACCCTGAGCCTAAGCCAAGACTAAGTGCCCGGCGCCAGTTCAACGCAACATTCCTCGGAGATCCGTGCATGCGCCACTGAGACAGCTGTCATCGTCCAGTTTGACAGCTTAGGGCTTAGAGGTGAAAGGACTGAGCCACACCCACGAATACACGCAACGCTGGATGCCCTTTCCTCGATAGTTGCTGGCCACAGCAAGTACACCCGGCAGGCAAACCTCAACTCTCTCCTAATATCTGATCCCTAGAGGTGCGCAGCGGCCTGACAAGCCCATGCTTGCTTGCTTGCTCTCTTGCAGATTCTTGCAGGGGCTTTCCCACAGCTGTCTGGGGCTGTGAGAGGGCTGCGAAACCATGTTGAGTGCCCCCTATCTCAGAAAAAGTGGTTGAGTTTGAACTATATGACACAACCGAGGCCTCAATACCCGAAACCCTCCATGGGTCCTGCCACAAACCGGTTTGCTCCACACGATCCACATCAAGCAATCGAGAGGGGAGGTCGGCAAACATCTTCAGTGAGTCTGCTGGGTACAGCAACACGTGCCGTCCTTCCCCGGAGTATCTGCAACTCAATCTTTGTCTCTCTTGCTTGCAGATCTAGGACGGCGGTGTGGCCCCCACCCCGTGGGGGATCCATGCGTCACGCCTTTCCCTTCTTCATCCTTCTTCAACGCAGCATGGGGGATGTGCGAGATGCCCCGGCCGCCAGGGCGCCCGCTTGACTCGGATTGGGGCGATGCAAGACTTAATATCTGAAGTTACTGAGCTTCCCCCGAAGTTCTCAAACACATGACATGCATAAATTTGCTCTCAGGCCCTCTGCTGAAAAAGGTAACCTTCGGAAATGAACTTGGGACTCTCCAGCTGACTTCCCCGCACTCAAAAAGCCCGTTTTGCTGCAGAGCTGAGGCGCAGGTATCACTGAGGTATCACATGGTATCACCTACCCCCCCCCCCCCAACCCCTCGAAGGGGATCTGTCCGTCTGTGGCGTCCGGCGCCCAAGTCTGCATGAAACCAATCCAGGGTGTCGCCCCCGTTACAGCACCGCCGCCTCGACTCCAGAACCACACCTCTCTCTCCCTCCACACAGCCAAGAGAGGGCCCTCCGCTCTCTCTCACTCTCACATGTGCACGTCCCTCATTTGCTGCTGACCGCTGTCATGCGGTCCGGTCGAGTTATCAAGAGTGGGATGGCGGACTCACCCGTCTTCAGGTTTTCCCGGTGGCTCTGCTCCCCGGCCGGTGGTCTCATCGGGGGGCTAGAGCTGCTAGCAGATCATGCCAAACGCTGTGTAAGTTGAGACCGGGCATGTGGCTTCAAGAGCGAGTCTTCAGGGTGCGGCAGTCCAAGATCGTTGAGGCAGGCGATTTGGTTCTGCCAGTTGCGGCCTGAAAGATCGATGCTGTCATCGACTCCTCGCCCGGGTTTGAGTGGCTGCCGAGCCCTCTGCCCCAAACGGCATAATCACCTCACCAGCTACTGCATGACGTCGCGAACTTCGAGATTAGCCGGCACGAAGGCCGCGGCCACTTGATAGCCGTGCTAATGTTGTACCATCCCCTGCTTTGATCTCAACGATGTCCTTGAGATCGACCTCCGGAAGCCGCATGCAACCGCAAATTCATCCGCAAGCATCCGACTGCATTCCACGCAATCAACGACCGGCCTTGACTGGAGCCAGGATTTCAGGATCCCCGCCTTGGCCAGGGCCAGCGCTTCGAAAGCAACTGTGGACTGTGGCAGGCTCAGGCGCTCAGGCACTCAGGCAGGCACCCACGCGGACGCAGCCGTGCTGGTTGACACCCCAGCCTGAACGGGAAGCCATCAGGGTCGGAAAACGAAGCTGCGCTGCGCGCGTCGGTACCTAGGCATTCTCCCGACTCGAGGAGCGCGAAGCAGTGGCAGTGGCCGGCCTCAAGATCATGCAATGCTTCCTTGTGATGGGTGGACTTGGACTGTGAATGACTCGGCTGTGGTCTTCAAAGCTCTGGGCGACTACTGACTTCACACCTTCCAAGACGGGTGTTGGCGCCTGCACGTGGGATCTATGCACCACTGACGGGGGTAACCCCGGGTAACCGGTACCATCTGTCCTGCCTGCAGGTGGGTGGTGCCTCCCGTGCCCAACCTGCCTCCTGAGCAACAACCTCAGCAGAGGGACGCCGCCATGGGGAGGCTTCCCGACACTGTTCTCTGAGTGCCCACCGAAAGCCATCACGGTGCTGCTGTCCAAGACCTCTCGATACGATGGGTTTCGGCAAGGACAAAGGAGTCGCAGTGCATGCTTGGACGCGAGCTGCGAGGCTGAAGTCAACGCCAGCTACGACCTGCCGCACCTTTGGCCCGAGCTCTGAATCCGCCAGAAATGAAGGCGGGGGCAGGATCTTTGGCGTCTATGGCTATGGCCTGGCTATGGCATTGGCACACGCATCCGTCTTGGGAAGAGGCCAGGTTCATGACTTTTGTCGGCTCCGTTTTGGGTAGAACTGTGCCTGAAATGCAGGCCGAGACGATGATGCTTCCACCCTCACGGCATCTTGCCAGTGTGTGAGGGCGCTACAGTCCCCGAGCTGGCCATATCCGTTCTTGCCTTAGGGAGCCACAGTACCATTGCTGTCTGCAGGAACTGTGTGGCATGAGCATCGCTCCCCAGGCAAACAACTCCCCAGTGTCGCGAAGCGCCTGGGTTCGGACTCAGGGTTGCTTTCACTACATGTTGGACCATCTCCAGCAGAGCCCCCGGCAAATGAGTGATTCCGTCCTGCACTTATTTGCACGATGTCCTCAAGATGGCACAGAATGCTGAGATGCAACGGCTCGATGCAAATTCCACGCCAGCAATGCTGGGATCCGAACCACAATGAGAGCCTGGCTCACAGGAGCTGATGAACCCAACACTGGCCGCGAAATCACGGCTTCAGAGATGCCTGCGGGTACAGCACGTCAGGCGACACCATAGTAAATCTATCCTCGTCTGCAGCCTGGCAGTCGGCAACCAAGAAGACCACCAGGACCAACCAAGTGCTGTCTCGAAAGCACATGTGGGTTCCAGGCTGGCTTACCGACGTTCGCCCCCCAACCATAAACGACGGACCTGGTCGTTAGAAGATTGACTCCGCAAAGCCGAAAGAATGATGAATGATGCGATACTTGCTGCTTCGGTCCCACACTTGCCATGTCCGGGCACTTGCACAATGGCCAAGCTGTGGTCCTGGCCTTGCAAGGCGGGATGAACTCCAGAGGCAGTGTTCATTAAATACTTGAGAGACCCGCCAGCAGCCAGCTGCTCTGCCTCGAACAGTCATACAGCTGCCAAGAGTCTCTCAGAGGTTCAGGCCGCGGGCCGCGTGGACAAAGCCCACAGTCCGGCAAACTCAGACTCAGCAGGCTGCATTCATGAGCTTGGTCCCTTCCAGCGCCATCGGCCCGAGCACCGGAACAGGCCTGACCAGCAGCCCAGCACTGTAAGGCACCACAGGGGCTTCGGTGCTTCGATTCGCGGACGGTCCGCGGATGGAAACGGCCTTGTGCGATCTGTCCTCGTTCCATCGCCCAGCTGTCCGCAGTTGTTCCGACCTCAGCACGCCCTTTGACTTTAGCCGTCTCCTCATAAAAGACCCCGGCCAAGAACAGGAAGCACAGCTGAGCTGGCTACCCCAAGCGACGGTCTCACCGGTTTGGAGAGTCGCCAGGCTATGGTACCAACCTTGGCCCACAAGGATTTGCCCAAAAGGCTATGGTCCATGGTGTGTCCCAGGCACCGACCTGCAGAAACCAGCTGCACCTGACATGTGACAAACACCCAGGCCCCTAAGCAGGAGCAACTTCTTCTCCAGCTTCCGCCTCATGACGGACGAACACCGGCTGATGGCGATCCTGCACTTTCGGCGAAAAGTGTCAAGGAGCCCGTGCGGCAGCCGAAAGTCCTGTCGAGAACCGTCCTGCACAGTTGCTAGGGCGGCTAGGACGGACGAATGAACATGGGCTCATCGGCTTGGCTTCTCTGAGGCGCTGGCACCAACTTGCCCGAACCTGGCAGGAGCCGCTTCGAAGCAGACCTTTCCTGCGCCGACCAAACGAGTTTAAGGGCGAGGCTGGTTGCTGCCCCATGCATAACCTCATCATGAGATAGTTCTACCGCCAGAAGCGGAATTTCTGCACTACACACACTTGGATTCCGGCAATCTCCGTTAGAGAACACTGCCAGAAAATGAAACCCTCCGACAGAGATCTGTGTGACTTCCATCGTTCACCTCGGCGTTCTGATCCGCAGCAGCCTCCCTTAGCCTCGTTCTTACCGACCCTTCGCTGACTTCATGGACATGATCCCAATTGGGCTGAAGCACCATACCAAGCTTTGCAGCAGAAGCCATTGCTTCGCAAGGCTTGCTGCCTGGCAGTAGCTGCCTTGTCTTATGATCTGCGGTCTGCTGTTTTGCTGTAAGGCTCCGTGCAACACGCCACGGACGCCGTAAGCTTCGGGCACACGCCAACTTGTCTGATCGTTTCCAAAGGCTGTGCTTGCGCTTCGCTCAGGGCAGTGCTCGGACTGACGAGACGGTACGATACGGATTATGATTAGGTGCTGGAGTGTGGTGATGCCCGAGCCGAAACCAAGAGACGGCGCATTGCTTCGCTTCAGAGTCCGCGGCTGATTCCGTGCTTCCCTCTCAGCTTGCTTCGTGGCGCCTTCTGCCACGCCTCGGAAAACCGTACGACGGCTGCCCACTGCCTGCCAGGAACTTGCAAAGCTCCCAGAAGCTCCAGACTCTCCAGGACTCCAGGCCTCCGGAAGCAAAGCCGACCTCCAGGCACCGACAAAGAACGCGGAATTTCAGAACGGCTGGCCAGGGCACCAATGCGGGCGCCCCAGAGGTAGAATGCAAGGCCAAGGATCATGTTGAAGAGGCTGAAGAAGGCTCCTCGCAAGGCTGCCGGCTTCACTGTCAAATCTGGCCGTGCCATGATGCAGCCGAACTGTGCGGCCCACCGAACCACAGGCTGTTCAAACCGAGTGGGATACCTGGCTCAGTTTTGGTTGCTACGCATGAACTCCGAGGATCAGAGTTAAGGCCCCTGCCGCTGGCGCTTCCGGAAACCTGAAGCGACCAAATAAAAATCAACAGCCAAGGAAGGCCTTCGCTGACTGCTTTCCCACAAGATGAGCGCTGGTCACCGGGGAAGGATGTCGCCACGCTGAGGAAGCCTTGCGCCCGAACGGTAACAAGAGGCTGCAAACCTGCCGCATGCCCACTCACACGACTGAATAATGTAAAAAGGCCTGCGCTGAAGGCCTCGGCAGTGACCTCACATTTCTTATGGCTGCAAGCATAGCACCGGCCCGTAGATCATGCTACCAGTCATGTCATGCTTTGCAACTGAATTTTGATTGCCGAGCCGACGGATTTCACAAAGAGGCGGCGGCGAAAACCAAAAGGTGATCTTTCTGGCTCCGGCGGATGGACTGCGAGAGCCTGGCGGCTTCTACCAAAGTCCAAGACATAGAATACCCTATACTTACACTGTACCGCAGTGCCATTTCCCAAACAGGGCAATTTCGTTCAGCCTAAATTTAAGGGTAGAGTGCTTACGAGATTTCATCTTACTACGTGTGGAAAAGCAGTCGCTCTACTTCTCAGGCTATCAGAAGTGCAAACTTGGTATATGCAACGGCTATTTACATATATCAGGTTACTGGTTTCACGTACACATGCCTTTTTTCACATCTGCGGCAGGGTGAGAGACCAGAACGCTAAGTCTTGCAACAATGATGCTCTTTGCCGTTTATTTCTCTAATCTTGTCTGGCTTGAAAACAAAATGGAACTATATAATACTGCAATTTTTAGGCCTCTGTGGCGTTTTGTAGTGAGCTTGAGTGTATTTCTTTAGTTTCGTGATGCACGTGGTAGAAGCGATCACCAGAGAAGTATGCAGCAACCCGCGGCCCTGACAGGGCTTTGCATGAATCCCCCGCCTTTCCGCAAGAAGCTAGAAGCTGCCTAATGATGCTTCGAGGGCTGCCGTCTGCTAATCAACACGCAAAGCAAGCCTGTGGGACTTTGCCAAGACTGCGATGTTAGTTGAAAATGTTCACCACACCACAGCGCGTTGCCAGCATTTGGGAAGTTGTCTTCCCAGGGGTTGTTGCTTTCTGTGCTCATGAAGACGATCACCCTTCTCGTCACACAAGAACGGGGTGACAGTGAACAGCGCAGGTTTTACCTTGGGTTAGTAGGGATAGTAGCTATAAGTTATATATAATACCCCATTCCGCCATTCCCTACTAACCAAAGGTAAGAGGAGTCCGATACCCCAAGGAAGCCCTGGAAGCACAGGCCGGCATCTCAGCCGAGTCGACTTGAAGAAGCCCTCCAAGAAGGTACCTGCCAGCTTGGCAGCTGCGGTTAGAAAGGGGCTACTGAGGCTACTGCTAGGTGCGCTTCTGCTTCTGAGCAGACCTCTTTTCGTGCAACGTCGCGGTGATCGGGAATGGCGAGTTGTGACGTGGTTACATGCTTGTACCTGCGAACGAAGAATGAGAATGCCGAGCTGGACTTTCCCTGCCCTGTACAGCTACAGTGCGGCAAGCAACGACTCGGCATGCAGCCAGTCAGATCTGTACATGACATCTGATTCACAAAATTGAAGGAATATCAGAAATCAGAATATCACCCGTCCTCTGATGGACACTCTCCGAACTGCACCCAAGAGGTGGCTCATCGAGACGGAGACATAAACCCTACAGTAGACTCAGTAGACCCGAAGCCCGATTGGACTCACACGAAGCGGTATTCGAAAGGATCCGGAGAGGATCTCCCTTCCACCACGCTGGCATCATGAAGACACTCCATGAACGTGGACAGCTGGACGGGAGGGTGCTGTGACGAAAGCTCTGCCACCTCAAGGAGGGTCCGGATCCCCATGGTGTGACCTTCCAGCTTCTCTGCCAGCTCCTGCACCAACCTTAGATCTAGAAGCCCCGGAAGATGCAGAGAGGCCCCCCAAAAAGCCCAGAGGCCTGGGCCTATCCTGCTACCGAAGAGCTCCGGGCTGAAGCCCCGGCGGTTGCGGAGTGCCGCCTCGAAGGCGCTCCGCTGTGCCAGCGCCGGGATCTGCAGCGCAGTGCCGAAAGCCCGGTGGAGGCCCACCTCCCGGAGGAACCCTAGCTCCGAGGTGGTGCCGATCACCATCATCCGGTAACCCTGGGCCCACCGGAAGACTTGATGTGCTTGTCTTCACAAAGCAAGAATCAACTATCATGACTGAAAAGGCCTTGGCATTGGCCATTTACGCTACGTATACTACGTAGACTATACGCCCACCTTGTCGGACTTCTTCTTCAGAAGGCCAAAAAGCAGCTGCAGGATGTTGTTGGAGAAGCGCTGGCCGATGCACGCGTAGTCGATGAGCCGCTCGAGATCGTCCAAAACGATGAGAGACAGCGGAGACTTGTGGGCATCCTCGAAGGTGCGCCTAATTGCCTGGAGCTTCATCGCCTCCGACTCTCCAGCAAGACTTTCCCCAGAAATGCGCCGGATGAAAGGGAAGTCGGACAGCTTCGCGACATGAGCCGACAGTGCAGACTTCCCACTTCCATGCATTCCATGGAGGAGCGTGGTCAAAAGCAGTGGGCCAGGACTCGAGCGGGCTTGGCAAATGTAGCCCTCCAGCTTCTGCAACAAGTGTGTGAAAGCGGGCACAAACGGAATGATGCCCTGTGTAGCCGAATCCTCGAGCGAGTCCGTGTCCTGCCCAAAGGCCGGCCGCACCTCCTGCAATGCCAGCTGGAAGTCGGAGGCGGTAACCACAATGCTATCCAGATCCTTCGCGGAGTTCAGATTGTGGACGTCCTGGCAGATTGCAACGTTTGCAAAGACCAGGCTTTCCCTGACGACCGATTTGCAAACAAAACGAGGTGCAAAGAGGAGAAGGCCGAGGCTCCACTTTCCGGCTCATGGAAGAAGCCACCGCGGCACGAACCAGGGCCTCCAACTCCGCACCGGAAAAGTTACGAGTCCGGGAAGCCAAGTCCTCGCACTCGCAGGCTTTCTGTGGACATGACACTTCCGACCGTCTCTACGCATGTGTCCTGCAGGCACACGCCCCCGTCAAGGAACCGCCCCTTTTGCAGCTTGGCCGTGTGAATCCTCGGCGTTTTTGCCACATCTGCGGATTAGAAACTGGTGAGCGATCGGCCAGGTACTGAGCAGTCTCAGGGCCGAGGCGCTTGAGGATCTCCAACCTGCCGGCCTCGTCAGGAAGCCCGATCTCTACGTGAAGCTCAAGGCGTCCGGGACGGAGGAGTGCTGGGTCCAAGAGCTCCTTGCGGTTGGTCATGCCAATCAGGAGCACGTTGTCCAGAGCCTCGACGCCATCAATCTTCGACAGAAACTGGTTCACGATGTTGTCCGAGACGCCGGTACTGTCTCGGCTGGACCCACGAGTTTTGCACACAGAGTCCATCTCATCCAGCACGATGACATGGAGCTGTGCGTTCTCGCCGTTGGCACGATAGTCCTCCTCTGCCTCTGCAAAGAGCATGCGGACTTTACGCTCGGTCTCCCCGACCATCTTGTCCAGGAGTTCGGGTCCTGCCCGGCACAAAGAGTTTCCTCCGATGTCGGCCTCCTATGCCTTTTGTGGTACGAGCTATGGAGCAATCGCTCAGTAATTACGCCGTACGGACGACTGATGACGACTGAAGGTGAGGATTCACTGAGGATCCCAAGTTTTAACACAAGCCCGCATCCCGAAGCCTGTGGAGAACTAGCACGACTGCAGGCCAAGCACGTTGACGCTCGAGTGGGCTGGACACTAAGATGCAAATGTCTGGGAGTGTTTACAGCAAATGGCATGAGACTATTGGCAGAAATGCTGGGATGTCCAGGTCTCCTGCCACGATCTTCGGAGGAACAGCCTTGAGGAACTTTGCAAGCTGCCTTGCGAGCAAAGTCTTTCCGGTTCCAGGAGGCCCGTAAAGCAGCATGCCCTTGACTTGCTTGATCCCCATTGCCCTGACCAGTCTGGGTGGAAAGACCCGCGCAGCGAAGGCCCGGCGGAAGATGTCACCGAACTCACGGGACAGGCCACCGATCCCCAACTCCTCGAAGGAGAAGTCGGGCTGAAAGATGGTCCTCTGCTGGCTGGAGTTGTTTAGAACCAAGAGCTTGCCAGATGCCTGCGCTACAGCGGAAAAGCTGACCAAAGTCTGGTCACTCACTAGGCCCACGCTGCTAAGCTCGTGCTTTGCAGCCCCACTGCCAAAGTCCACAGGCTGGGCGCTTTTGGTTTGCAGCTTCAGAAGCGTCCCCTTCACCTGCAGCGCCAAGAGCTGGTTGCAGGCCAATGCCTGGTTGGTGAAACTCTTCCGGAACTCCTCTTCAATGTCGGAATCCAAAATCTCGATCCTCCTTGCGTCTGCTGGTGGTGCGCGTGGGAAGGAGACCTCGATGGAGCAGGAGGCCAAGAAGAACTCCGGTGGTACCTCAAAGGGCTTCACCCGGACCTGCTTCTCCAGACCGACCCGTGCCAAAGTCCGCTGGTAGTCGGAGAAAGCTATGCAATCTTCGGGCAGGGCATGTTGACCTAGCATGAAAACGCAGCGGTTCACCTCAACCAGCGGAGTCGAAGTCGAATCTGTGATCAGCTTCTGGAAAGTGGAGGGAGCCACATACCTGCAAATGCTGTTAGCTGCTGGCTGCAAAACGGCCTGTCAAGTCCCGAAAATTGGCCTGCCACTGTCTGCAGAGAGGCTGCACTCGATTCGTAACTGCCATGGAATGCCCGGGCAGTGGCATCTTCGTCCAGGTGAGGGGGAGTCCTGACAAGTCAAAGCTTTTCTGGGTCCTGGGAGATGGAATTTGCCACCGCTCTCACTTCTAGTACAGTATTGCTCGGCATTAAGCTTATTGCGATTGCTTGTGCTGCTCAGATCAGAGATCTTGTCCTGCATCCATGGCGCACCGTGGGGGCGATGAGTCGCTGCTGAAAATGCGACTTGCAAATGCAAGTCTGTCACAGCTAGGGGGGGCTTGGGCCTGCAGAAACGGCAGCAGGATGCAATGAGGCTCCCCGGCTAAGTTGTTACGCTTCATCCTAGGCCCAACAGAAGCACCCGCCAGAGATCCTAGCAATTCTTTTTGGCTGGGAATCCGCTCCTAGGCACAGCCTGTATCATTCCTCGTTTCCTTCAGATAGAAGGCTCGGCACTCGAGGCTCGCGCCTCCAAGGTTCAACATCAGCGTCAGCAACAGCAGCACCCACCTGAAGAATCTCGAGAAACGCCAGCAGGCTCCAGCAATTCAACCCTCAAGCGTTTCGAGAAACACCATTTCCAGCTTCCTTAGAAACAGCTTTAGACTTCGACTTAGACAAGCTGAAATCTCGTCAAATTAGAAATCGGTTGCTTGACACCGGCGCCCGTCCGCCTACCAAAAGCAGCATCGTAAGATATTTCATGGAGGGTCTTGGCGCCAGACTCGGGAGGCGGTTGCCATATACCA